AACTTATATCATCATCACTGAATTGCAACGAAATACGTTTTGGTAGCCATGTTTTAAATAATTTATCATTGCTTACATCTTCCAAAGTTAATGAAATTGATTCACCAAACCTTGTAGAATAAGTTGACATATTTTTAATTATGTACACTTCATCAATTGGCAATGATGATAAGGCCTTCTGCTCTAGTATTTCAACCTCCTGTACAATCAAATCATTGATTTTATGTAAGTCTACTCTTGAAACGGACATGATGAAAATATGTATGAAAATATAAACAATTCCCAACAGAAAATGACACCCACCGTCTTACTTCTATTACGAACTGAATAACACTCTAACCAGGCATTTCTTTTATGTTAAACAGCGCGAGTCACCCCTACCATGAAACCGTGCTACATTTCAAAAAAGGTTCACGTTGCTAGTTGTTACTCACCTAAAGATGCCTGACGCAGCCAAGCCCACCTCCCAACTGGAAGCGTCAACAGAAGTCGATACGAACAGACAATGGTCGTTGCGCCATCGTAGAAGACGCTAACACAATCCTCGCCGCCTGCGCGTCACCATCGACAGCGAAGGTAGAGCGATGCGTTACGTCATAGCCTTTACCGCATCGAGAGAGGTGAGGACACACCAATGAATACGCATTACTCAGCCACACGTCGTGGAGTGAACATCTCGCTCTCCTACCGGTGAACGGTTGCTGCTGTGGCGTCACACCACTACTAACTTGATGGGCTCACACTGATGGAACATTCATTACTCAACCTGCACCGTGCCTTCTCACACACACACCAACCAAATGTAATTACGTCATTATATCACACACACAAAATCTCATACGAAAAAAAATTCAGAATGATCCATACACCAGACACTTCAAGGTCACATCGCCTTGATTTTACTAAACAACAAAACAAAACAATCAATACGTCATAGTGGTGGGGGGAGGCCCAGAAATGGCTGTAATCTGCTACTGTCTTCTCAGCCTATCTAGAAGAGAAATCAATAGTATGGAACCCGTCAACTTTGTGATGCAAGTTTTCAATGATAAAGTCGAGTGCGCTCGTTAAAAATGGTGTTAATACAAGCGAACATTTCAAGGTAATAGCATTCTTAAAGTGGAAAAATGAAAGTTATAGACCCAATAAATCAAAAACTCTTACGTTCGAACAAGTTGGAACAATGTTGGAAAAAACATTGACTATTTTAATAAATACGTTGCATTACGCCCTTCTGTTATCAATCATCAACGTTTTTTTTCTGAAATACTCAAATTATAAATGCAGTGCCAACTTAGGTAGTATACACATGTTTGGGAAAATGCCCTTTACCATTGTTGAGTTTCTGAACCTCCCAGAACCAAAAGAATACACAGGTCACTGTTTCAGAAAGTCTTCTGTTTCTTTGCTAGCAGAATCAGGAGCATATATAACGGACATTAAAAAGCAGGGAAGATGGAAATCTACAACAGTAGCTGAGGGTTACATCGATCAATCTATTTCTTATAAAAAGGCTGAAAGAATAATCCCAACAGCTAACTCCAGCGTTACAGTAATCGTCCTCTTCACTTCAAGAATTAAATGTAAATGCCCATGAAATTGTCAACTCAGATAGTTCAAATATATTACAAGGCTCTTCAACATCGCAAGGTATCAATATCAGCAGTTTTTATAATTGTACTTTTCATATTAATGTTCATAAATATTGTTCATAATACAACTTTCCTGAAAATTGAATAATGATATTTTGTTTATTGCTATTCGTCGAAAAAACTCGTTTTGAACACTTCGTAAACGTCAATACACCCCACAAAGGTTAGTCTCGTAGATGATTTCGCTAGAGTTTTAGTACATAGCGATCTGCAGGTGATCTACTTGCATAATTGCATAATTTCAGAATGGTCCTGCTGCTGGATGAACGGGAAGCGTCTGCGATACTAACCCCTGTGGGGTTTCTTGCATAAATGTCTGTTGGAAATAATTCAATATCCAGCGTGGTATCAGCCGAGAAAGTAGTTGTTTTCCGACAGAGAAAAATTAATATTTTTAAATTTTATTCCAAAATAATATTTTTTTTATAGTAACACTATTCATGATGATAATTACAAAATTCCACAGTATAGACTTCATTTCCAATTAGTGTTTCACTACAACACCAGTCCAACTGAGCAAACTACACGTATTGGAAATGAAGTATATATTGTGGACATTTGTAATTATTATCATGAATAACATTATGAAGGTGTTAAAAGGCAAACTTTTCAGTTCACCCCGATAATTTACTATATTAATTCAGAAAAATTTTTCACAAAGAAAAATGTATCAGCAACTTCTCATATTAAATAATTGAAAGAGTATTTCAAAAAGCTCCTTATAAATGGATCGTAGGTAGGTACTTGAATACCTGTCTAGTAGCAAATTCCAACAGAATAATAGCAGAGAAAACTCTTAACTACATCCAATGTTTCAATAGTCAATAAATAATATCAGCATAATTCACATTCCAAAACTACTTTGATATATATTGAATACGTCACATGGGTGACGTATTCAATATGGGAAAGAAAGTTTTTGGCTTTCTACTAATCCATATCTGAATTTCATTCCATAACGAATGTTTGGAATACAAACTGAGTAGAGAAAAGTATCTTCTGTATAATTCAGTATTCATGTAAAAGTATTTGTTTCGAAAGAATTTATTTCTTTCGTGTAATTCAATGTTTATATGAAAGTAGCTGTTTCAGGAGGGCTCTCTTCCAATTTGTGTCTGAAAGTTGCTTCTTTGCATGATCTACACATCCATGTATATAGTTACTTATATTCAAATTGATTACTATCTTCCTTTCTTTGGAAGATTCCCACATTTTTTTGGATCAAGATGGAGTAGTAGAAAGCCAAAAATTTTTTTTCCAACATAGAATTCTCTACATAGAATTGTTTGGAAAACAAGAACCATGTTATAAAAGAAAACAGATGACTTCTTTCGAAATTCTTCTTTCAGTAATACCTTTCCTTTATGCAATTACTGTATCTTTTCTTTTCACAACTGTATCTTTCTACTAGTTTGGAGCCGTTTAGGTTATGTTAATTTCTTAGAAATTTGTGTACTTTTTATTTAAATCCTTTGTGTGTGGTCTTCCCCAATTATTCCTCATGAAAATGATAGGGTCTTTTATGAAAGTTGTTTTTTATTTTGTTGTTTTCTGTGTTGTTTCATGATTTTAGTTTGAATAGAAAATAATGGAACAGAAATCCTGACAGATGATAGATATAACCTTACCGATGGAACATACATAAATAGAGAAGATAAAAATGCCAGAAAGGTAAACGGGAAATATTAAATAGGTACGATGACTACAGATTTGATTTTGTGTCAGCTTCACCATAATGTACCTCGTTAACGGGTGTTATGAGGAATCATATGAAGAAGGTGTGAAAAATAAAACTAGGAGGCAAACACTGGTGAGGAACTGGGTAATTCCAATATAAACAGAACACCGGATAACGAGAAGACACCCGGCTCTAAAATAGGATTTCATACACAAAATTATTAATGTTGAATGTCACAAGAAAACCACGCTCGTATCGAAATGATTCCAATGAAAGAAAGCGTTTTGAGAAAAAATGTATAGGTACTTTACTCGCGATTCTTTTGTATTTGCCAATAGGATGGGATTTGCAAATTAATCAAATGAACTAATGTTTTTTGATATGTTTGACTGAAATAACCAGTTTTTATATTGCTATTGAAAGATATAAATAGTTCAACCAGTGAAAATATGGTATGTGAACTTAACAGATTACTTTTTGCTAGTTCAATAGTGAATCTCTGTTTGTTCAGAAAAAAACAAATAATCTTGTTTCTTTCGGTTTCTTTGTTAATTTTCAGATGATGAAATTGAAATTGATTTTGTCATATTACTATGTAGTGAATGTCAAAGGAATGAAACGATTTGGTGTTGGGAAAAAACTCCAGTAATATTTGTATAATAAAATAAAATATTCAGGAATGTAAACTGAAATAAAATCAAAACGAAACATATACGTCTTAATGTCATTTGATTGAAAATTCATTATATTCGTTCACAGTGAATGAATAAAAATTATCGATTACACTAACAAAACCAAATTTGAATTCACCTGCAAAATATACTATTGAAATGTAAAACTGTAACGAACCTCTGGCATAAAACAACAAGCATTGCTCCCAAATTCCAGAACTGCAACTCTCTTCTTGATAATTGGTTGCAATTTGATTTGCGAAACAAGCGTGGAGAAGAGTGTTTCAGTTATGAGGCTCAGAATCAGTGATTTTTCAATTAAATAATGCTAATATTACTGAAAAATTACACTACAGAGAAATAACAGTAACTGTTATGTGATGTGTATCAGCCAAAATGTGGCAACTGCATTAGGAACAAAACATTCCAAACGTATAGATATAATACACCACTTTGAAAGAGACTGACAGGAGAAGATAATATTATACAGCAAGTGATAAAAACAGGTTGTGAATATGATGGCGAAGGCAATTCCAATTTTATTGAAATTGGAACATTTTCGTAAGACCATCAATGTTGTGTCGCGCCGTACGGAATTGGCGGTTACTGTTGATATTTACCATTTTATGCTACAGAGTTTTGATTTCGCTACTGGAGAGAATGTTGTTTGAATTTTTTTGATGTATCTGGTAACTGAAAAATATAGAGGTCGCAAAAATAGTTTCTATTGAAATAAATCCAAGTTTTGAATAGAAGAAAATCACAGAAGTTTTCCTTCACCATAAACTGCCTTCGGTAGCCTAGTTCATTATTGATATTAGTCATACAAGTCACTAGTCGCACTCTTAGATGGCCTTTGTGATATCAACGTCTTTTATTTCTGGTCACTTTGAATCATGCATGACTGATTTGATGCGATTGAAAAACGAAATAATTCTGGAATAATTTATTAATAAATAGCTATATGTACACAGTCAGGTCGATATCTCCTAGTGGTAGTATTGGGCAATAGGAGCAGAGTATGCTACTTTGGCGATGGCAGGTTGGGTATACGCAAGTGGAGTAGCGACTTTAGCTACTGGTGCGGCGTAGGCAACTGGGGCAGCAACTTTGGCAACAACTGCTTTCTGGACAAGAGGTTCTCTGTTTACAACAGCATTGAATCCATTCACAGGGTCTGCTGTATAATCGACAGTACGTCTAAAACCATCGGCGTCAATGAGGGAGTAGCTACCGTGAACAACATCACCGTCACGGGATTCTTGCTGGCTTTTGCTGTCACCGGTCAAACCGTCTTGGATATCGTAGGCGTAGTTGTACTGGGGATGGGGATCGTATTCTTCAGAAACAACAGCTTTAGCTACTGGAGCAGCGTATGCCAAGGGAGCCACTACTTTTGCGATAGGTGCGGCATATGCAAGAGGTGCGGTTGGAATTATTCCAGCTTGAGCAACTGCCAGACATGCGGTAAAGGCGATTAACTGAAAGTGTCAGGAAAATTATCGCAATTGTTTGAGTGCACGTAAAAGTCTAGATCTATTTCATGTACAAGAAAGCAACTCAAATCATTTCGTAATGTCTTCGTTGTGTGAATGAGCATAGTAAAAATAAATCAAGATATAACTTGAGTTAATTTCACAGAAAATCAATGGTGTAATTATTGGAGTTCCACATCTATTCATTTCCTCAATCAGAATTAGAAAATTTCAGTACAGTAAATTAAATTAATTCGGATTTTTTTCAGTATTAGTATCCTGAAATCTCAGAGGATGAAGAACAAGGAATGTTCTTGAGAACAATCATAAATTGATGATTTTGCGAGATTATTACAGAAAATAAGTATATTTTTGATTTGAATACCTACTTTTTTTCGAGTCAAATATTGATGTCAGATGGCATTTGAGATCTCACCTATTTTAGAATCATTCAAAAAAATGAGTTTCCTACCAATTGCTATATGTTAATTTTTAGTTCGAAATCCTATATGTTCAATTACGTACAAGAACATTACTGGGCCTCATTAATTATTATAATTAAATTTTGGGGGATAGAGAAATGTGAAATGAATTGTTTTCATTAGTTGGTGGAAATAGGAGATGGAAATGTAGTAGATTCAAACATCAGATTGAACAACTGGAAATGAAAACATCAAATTCCCGAATGTGGAACTGAGGTACCCAACAGATTGAATTATCATGTTGAAAGGAAATTTAATATTCGCCAATCTTATGTAAATTTTGACTGTTGAAATTGGATCAGTTTAGGCCTGATATATCAATTTGAAGAAACATGCATACTGCTGACAAAAACACATTGGTACTTTGATATCTCAGAAATCTATAACAGATATAAATAGGGCTCTCTGAAATTGTCTCATGAATACAAAGGTTTTGAACTTTAGTATAATCCATCAGTGATCACAAACATCCATAAAACAAAATTTGTGTACTCTTTCCCCAATTCAATAGTTATCAAAAGCGTGGGTGAAGAAATAACAGTAGCACTTTTTTAATATACTGATTGTTATTTTGAAACACTTGTGATTCACAAAAAAAATTGAAAAAATAGAACTCTGCATCCCAAGATGACACTATTTATGAATCACCTTCGAAGATAACCCCAAATAATTTTATTTTATGACTTTTCTTCGAAAGAAATAAAAGAAAGGGTTGCTGGCTTCTGATTTGTTTGAAGAGGTTCTAGAGGTCAGTGATGTTATCATCACTATTGAAACGAGTACAAAGTTTAATTATTGAGTTGTTGACATTTGATACTCATGAAACCTCCATTGTTGATGTGGACACTAACAATATAATAAACAATAATTTTTTCTCCAAAAAATATTCTTTCGTGGCTAGTTTGGTCTTCATTATAAGTTGTTGATGGAAAACAATCAAATTGAACAAAAAGAACAACAAAAAGTTTTTCAAGTGAGGCCTCGTTAATCCTTAACTCGCACCAGTTTCGACTTTTAAGAGTAGTCGTCCATAGTGAACGACAGCAGCTTATTGTGAAAACTGATTTTCACAGATTTCAAGAGACAGGTATAAATGAATAACCTCGACGAAAATAACGTCACTCAAAAACTGATTTTAGAGTACTGCAAAAGATCTACCACATTCTGAAATGAAAATCCAAATGTTTGCAATTGGCCATTAACGCAAGATATATTGCGAAATTGGCAGTGCATTGAAAGATATGTTGATGATTGAATTAATGATGAGCTTCTTTAACAAAGATACAGTCAAGAAAAAACTAACATGCTGGTTGTAAATACAAATTGATGAAGAGAATGTTTTCAATTTCTGCGAATAATTATTTCTTTAAAAATTAAAATTTCAGTAGATTAACAAATTTGAAATATATCACGTATTTTCTTAATCGAGATATAGAAACTTAACTTCATACCTTGAATGCCATTTTATATCGTGTGAATATACCGCAAACTTCGAGACGATGATCTTTTCATACCACTCGAACTTTTTATATATCAAAACACTACTCCAGAAATCACACAATGCACACTTGTTGACCCTCAAAAAATATCGGCATCGCCCATAGTAAAGGGATACAACTTTCATTTTTTGCCGATGGGTGACACCTCTCAAATGCAGTTCATCGGATTGGAGCGGAGGTAGGAGCAGTATAGGCCAGTGGTGTAGCTGGAATGATTCTATCTTGAGCAGCTGCCAAACATACAGTAAAGGCAATGAACAAAATAAATCAAATACTGTATTTTTGATGGCAAAATCAAATTCTCTTTGGTCAATATTATCCTAATAAGACAACAATCGAATGATATTCAGAAAACCACTAGATTACCTATTTTCAGAAATTCTGATTGAATTTTTTCTGATGTCAGAAGAATAAGGAATACTTTTTTGAGATATGGAATTGTTCACCTTATATGAATATTCATGAATAAACAATTTATTTGCTGAAAACTTGAAATTGCTAATACTTCAATACCATATCTTCAATAACACGTTGGATTGATAGATTTGACTAATGTAAAATCAGTGATCTAGAAACAGTGATCTGATTTTTAATCCTAAGATAATGTGTCAGTTACTCCTTGTGATTTGTAAAAACCAGAGATACATCTCTGGCGATTGAAATAATCTCTTCATTTATATATTCTGATGTAAAAACTGTAACTATCACATTTTCCATTAACTGCTCCATGAATGGAACACTTAAAATTCACAACGTTATTTTTCTGTTTTTTTTGACATTTTTGTTAAAATTTTGATGAACCTACTCGTATATTGAAAAATGAAATGAAAATATATTTTGACTTTCTACTTGTGTTGCACTGTTTGGAACCTTTGGTGTAGTAATGAATATTACTGGAGTTTTTTCCAACAACAAACCGTTATTTTTTACACATCGACACGTGTTTCGATCAGCAAGTGATCATCTTCAAGGGAAAGATTAAACTAAATATTCATATAATATTGTCCTTATTCATACGATAGATACCTCTGCTAGGTACCTGCGTCTTAATTGTTTTCAATTGATTTTACAATGTTGTTTCATTCACTTATTTCGGTCGGTCGGTAGTCGGGCGGTTCGACGTGGATGCTTTGTTCATTCAATCAATCGGCCGATGTCTGAGTCGATGATTCAAGCCGCAGGCTGAACGCTCGATTTTCACTTGCTATCGTCCAACCCGTGTTAGGAATCACACGTTAAAAGGTAAGACCTCGTTGGTCCTTAGCTCGCACGAGTTTCGACTTCTGAGGGTTGTCGTTCTTAGGGGTGTGGTAACTGGTTAACAGAAAAAACATATTTTTTGTACTAGTCTTAAATTAAATTTACAATGTTGCCTTATCCAATAGTCAGGTAAATCTGATGTATGAAACATCATTTCAACAAGCTATATGGTTTACTATTAGGTATTGGTCCATCATCGTTATTCATAGTATTATCATATAATCTCATAGGCATCTTGATGCCTGTTGTTGTTAATTTGTCTAACTAATCTCAACGAACTAAAGTCTATGTTGTAAAATACGATGGGCGAGTGCTGATTTTTCTGGTCATCCATATTTTAGGTGTGCCAGGTGTTCCTTATATCTTATTTTGAAGATCTATAAAACATCTCTCAAGATATGTCAAGATATGTCAAGATCTGTCAAGATCTATCATCAAATCTTCAAAATAGGATATAAGGAATACTTAGCACATCCTGAATATGAAAGACTAGAAAAATTAACAGCCACTCATCATATTTTGCAACAAAATCATTCCATAGACTCTAGTTCATTAAGATTAGTTAGACAAGTTGACAACAATAGGCATCTAGTTGCCCATGAGAGTGTAGAAATAAGTAAACATGATAGCATTGGTGGACCAATACCTAATTGTATAATATATAGATTGTGGAAAGAATATTTTATTTATCAGATTTACCTGACTATTGGATAAGGCAACATTATAAAATAATCAATTAAAGACAATTGAGACGCAGATACTTAGCAGAGGTACAATGACAACATTGTATGTATATTTAGTTTAATCTTCCTCTTGAAGATGCCATCTTGGTGATCGAAACACGTGTCGGATCCAGACGCAGTTCAACCCGAACTCAACGACAACATACTACTGACCGCGGAAGCCTATCCGTATTTCATTCCGTGTACTGTGTTTTTGATCCTCACATAGATCATTTTCACAACGTTCCGGCGAAGTCTCATTTATTTGCCATCTTCTAGTGATGTCTGGATTATTATGGACCTGAACTGATTCTCTGGAACTCTCTGTCTTGATTTATGAAATAGCAGGTATCTTTCATTGAGTCATTTTTCCTGCCTGAGTTGGTCTGATTACCCTCACTGGCTTACCATGTTCTTTGTTTTGCTCTTGGAATTGTGCGATCTGTTATACAGTAGTAGTATATAGTATATAGTACATCAGTACTAGTTATAGAAAACGCGTACAAAATTATTACTGAGATATATTTCGAACGTATATATTTTAGTCTTCTCTCCTCTTAACTTTCGAAAGAGAGAAGATATCAAAATCGAATAATCGTAAAAAGGTATATATATTTTTAGTACTTTTTGGTAAGAGAGACAATAGTGTTGCATCATTCGTCGCCGAGAAAGCGCTAGCAACTTTTTTTTCAATTGGAAAGTGTAATCTTGTGATACCTCATCTGATAGGTATTTCAATTCTCCATCCAACATTTCTCTTTGGAAATCGAATATGTTCTAGATTCTAGATAAATAATTCTATTCGTTTCAGACATCTGCAAAAAAACTGATAAATGTCATGATGCCAAAAAATGTATTCACAACTCACTCTATTTCATTTCAATAGGGGCTTGAGATCTTGACCACTTCTCAACAATGATGGAGTTTGTTAACAAATTTATTTCTTACATGATGAAATGTTTATAGGGTAATTTCATCAGGAGCTCTGAAATAGACTGTGTTTGTATAACGTGAACTTCAGATTACACGAATCCCCACAAAAAGTCTGAGTGCGTCATTTCAGATAATCTAGCGAGTCATTCTGTTGGACGATGTTTACCTATCCACGAGTTCGGATAATTGTCATCTAACCACTTTCGAATCAGCCTGCCATAATAAAGAGGTATCTCATTTTGCTGTTACGTTACGTTACTTGAAAACTTATTGAGTTTGTCATTTATACAAATCCGTAGACAGGAAGATGTGGTTCCTTAGAAGAGCCCACTGAATCACCTGATATGACGCTTGTAGATGTTTTTGAGCGGCTACGTAACAAAACAATTGTCTCTCCTACTAAAAAGTACTCAACATGATACTTACGCTATACTTTAATTTTTTGACCTTGATATTTGGTTTCATTCAAAAGGTCCGCACTGTATAATACTGACATAGCTGAAGAAAATGTGTTGCACCGAAATAAGAATGCTGTTATTTATTTTTGCTAGCGGTACCTTCCACTCAGAATCAATTAGTCTTTCAAAACACAATTCTTTACGTGAAGAGAAATTCAAGTAGTTATTTAAATGCAGAGAAGTTGTTTCATAGATCCAGAAATAAAACTGCAAATTCTAGTGTTTTCTCAAGACATGAGTGAAACACAATGTTCATAATATTCTTGAAATCATTTACTTTCTCAGGTTACCATTAGAATAATTGAAAATTTGTGATATTTCAGAAGATTTTACTTTACTGAAAAATGTAATTCTTTGTTACTCACATGTGAATTCATCATGTGGGATCCCCAAATATCATTAAATGATATATGTGAGGATACTAGGAAATTTCCATATATAGGGACTCCCATACAAAGAGATTTTTAGAGTGAATACGAACAACATAAATATTCAAATATTCAAAATCAGAGACTTAACGCTGGTGATCTAAAATAATGTATTATTTCTACCTTCAATAAATAATCAATGGATTTCTATCAAAAATATTACTTTTTTCCTGACAAGTTCAACAGATTATATCGATATGAAGTACACATGAAAAATCAATCTCAATCTTCAACCATATACAAATTATTACAAATACTATTTCAGTATTTCAACGAATGCTCAAAATTTTATTGGTGATCTACTACAAAGATAGAGGATTCGATTTTATATTTGGCTTCATTAAAATAAATGGAATGTTCTCAATTATAATTTTTGAGGCGACGAAAAAATATTTACGACTTGCAATCAGAAAAACAAGATCGATGTGATAATTAGTTCTATATTGAATTTTTTTTTGATGATTCATACATAGAGAAAGACTGGATCTGGATCTGTAGGTATATTATGATTGCACTGTGGTTCTGGCGTTGAATCTGGTCATTATCAAGTCATTTGTATTTTAGAATTAATAAAAGTAATAATATATAGAAAAAAAATTATTTTCTGTTTTGAAAAATTATTATTATGGCTCAGACAAAAATTAAAAATTTTGTTTCAGTAATCCCATTTTGTGAATTTTATTTTATGTATTGAATAAAAAAAATTGAAACAAACTTCTTTTTCAGTTTTTAGGAATATTATGTCAATATAATCAGAATAGAGAAATGCTCATAAAAAACGCCATAAAATATCGTAGAAAAAATGTTGGCAGAGGATGTGTATTTTTATTGTCCTATGGTTCTCTAGTAACGAGACAAGTGTCACTTGTAAGAACGCTTTCTCAAGTTCTTCAGATAGTATAGCTATGTAAGCACGTGAATGGTTTGTCTTCACCTAGCTAGTGTAGTTTTGTTCTATAAATATACTTCTGATTACTTCGCAACCCACATTCACTCGATTCAACAAAAAAATCTATAACTCCTTTCAACAATTTATTAATAAATATCTATGTACATAGTCAGGTCGATATCTCCTAATGATAGTATTGGGCTACTGGAGCCGAGTATGCTACTTTAGCGATAGCGGGTTGAGCATAGGCAAATGGAGCTGCGATTTTAGCAACTGGAGCTGCGTATGCAACTGGAGCAGCAACTTTGGCAACAACAGCTTTCTGGACAAGAGGTTCTCTGTTGACAACAGCGTTAAATCCGTGAATTGGATCAGCAGTGTAATCGACTGTACGTTTGAAGCCATCAGCATCAATGAGGGAGTAGCTACCTTGGACTACGTCACCGTCACGGGATTCGTGCTGGCTTTTGCTGTCTCCAGTCAAACCGTCTTGGATATCGTAGGCGTAGTTGTACTGGGGATGAGGGTCGTATTCTTCAGAAACAACAGCTTTAGCTACTGGGGCGGCATAGGCCAAAGGAGCAGCTACCTTGGCAATGGGAGCAGCATATGCTACGGGGGTGGAATAGGCCAGAGGTGCTGCTGGAATGATGCCAGCTTGGGCAGCAGCCAAACAGGTAGCGAAAGCGATGAGCTGCAAATATTAGGAATTATGTTTAATTGATTCAAATTCAATTGTAGACATTGTTTATGGAAAAATGTGGATTTATCTCATTTAAATACACAGTGAAATGAAATGACGAATTTATTCAAAATAATTCAACGACTATAACAAAAAAATACAATTAGAATTGAATTGTTCAAACACGTGAATAAAAAGATAAAGAACTCTCCAATATCATTTTCACGTTGGCATTCGTGTATTCTTATACGTATAGTTAGACATCAATTCACGATTTTGGATCGATGTTACTTTTCATAGAAAAGCTCAGTTTCATCCATTATATAAAATACGAGGTCTGTTTAAAAATAAGGTGAATTAATTAATTCATCAATTTCTATTTTGTCCCTTCCAAAGTAGTCCCTTTCACTTATCCCAGCGTTTTTTCAAATCCCTAAAGTAGTTGTGATATGCATTTCTTTGGTATGCCAGTGAGCTCTCAGCAATTCAGTTTTCATCTTCTCGATTGTCACAAAAACTCTGTCCTTGCATGGGCCTCTCGAATCTTATGAACAGGGAAAACCGGCAGGGGGACAAATCTGGTGAATACGGTGACTGAGGTATGATTAAGGTGTTGTTATTGGCCAAAAACTTACGAACAAGAAATGTGGATCGTCGTTGATATCATTCATGAAATTTTTAGCGATTCTAATCTAGCAAATTTAGAAAGAACTTGCTGCCACAATGCCCAAAATTTACAAAAAATTGCATGGTATGAGTCAACCGATATGCCGACATCCTCAGTAACTTTTCTGATAGTTGATGTACTGGAGCGTCCAGGGCGAGTGTTGCCACCTCATCATCTCGACCTTCTGTGAAAAGCTTGTACAACTTGTGATCATTTTTCTTACTCAGAGTACAATCATCGTATGTCACCGTCAACGTTTCAAGTATTTTCGAGCACTATATATCATTTCTTACACAACATTTGATGCAAATTCGTCGATCCATTATTTTCGATGGTAAAAAGTCGCCAAGCACGCAAAACACTTTCAACTGTTATGCCTATCACCAACAAACTGAACATGCTGGACAGCTGAAACTGTGAACATATGTTGGAGAGGAGTGTACCAGCAAAAAATGAAAAATCGCTAGTCGAATGTACGTAGCCCGCGAAATTTTAACGTTTACCCTATTTTTTGAACAGACCTTGTATATAGAAATACTTAAAATTATATTATTTGAAAATAATTACACTTTTTTTGAAATTGTCAAACTTGCAGATAATTGAAATTATGAATATATGAAATGGATCTCATACCTTGAATGCCATTTTTATTAAGTGATTGACTAAACAGTTTCAGATAATATGTAATGATTGATAATTCTCAAACAATTTATATACTTACTAAAAACTGCTCCATTTATTCAATATTTCATCATTAGCACTCCATGACCTTCGAAATAACATTGACTTCATTTAAGTTATTTGGCATACGACTTTCATTTTTACTACATTCGTGCAATTTTTCAATGCGTCGGTATTTGCAACAAAATGAGATTATCGGAACGTCCTTGAATAAGAGCGCCAACCACTTTTCTGAATATAATTTCTATAGTTTCTTTACAAGAGTTGGTATTACAAAGTTGAACTTACAAAAGTACTACCTAGAAATGAATACATTTGTTCATAATTATATCTTTTAAGTTCTTCATTTATTCGTTCATCTTTCCGAAGTAGCTGAAATATATTTTTTAGGGACAAAACACAAGCACTACAGGAAAATCCTCAAGGCGCTCTAAAAGCGGTGCCTGTGCGAAAGAGAGATTAAATCCATTTGGGAAAACATTCTCAGGAAGTTTATTCTACATAAACGCAGTTCTCCAGAAGAGTTCTTTAACAGTGGAGTACGAGGTGTACTGAGTTGAACCTCAAAACGATGAGCAGCCACTGTCCGTCGCGTATTTCTGATATGTGCCAAGTCACTTGAACACCTTCCGTGAAAGTATCTGTAGAAGAGAGACAAATCTCCAACCTTTCTTCGATGTTCCGGGCTATCAAGGTTGCACGTGATGTTCGCGTCTCCAATTATGCGGATGGCTCTTTTCTGGATGGAATCCAGCATCTTCAGGGTATGTTTGGGGGCAGAGCTCAATATATGCGAACAATACTCCAAAGAAGGTCTGATCTGAGCTTTATAAAGCATCAAAAGTTGCTGGGGTGTGTATATTTTGAGAAGCAGACTTTGCAATTCCAGCGACATGATTGTGCCAAGATATATTGGTGTCCATTTCAACCTCCAACAAACTGATCTGAGAAGAAAACGGAATTTTCTGACCTGACATACACATTTATCTTCTTGAACAAAGCCGATACCTGTATTTTTGTGGCATTGAATTGAGTGATTGATTCTGCCGTTACTTGATGAAGATCCACAAACTTTGTAGAGATCAAATCGTTGAGGTGTAGTTTTTAAAAAAGCATTGAATTGAACCTGGTTACTTTCACCCCAATTTGAAATCACTTCTAGATCCTCATCAAGACATGCAACCTTCTGCTGCCGGTGAAGATGTGCATCCGTAACCGATGTCCTGGAATCCAAATGGAATAACGAGACAAGTGTGCTGTCGTCAGCAATAAGTCGTTGATATACAATAAAAAGAGGGTTGGAGACCATATGGATACCTGGGGAACACCAGCGTTGATGGTGAAAGTATATATATGAAGAATATATATTCATAAGTATAGATGAAACAAATTTTAGTTATATCAATGTATTACATTTATTCTACACCAATAATATATGTAACTTTTATAATATGTATTTGTATATTTTTTCAGTGAAAATAAACGACGTTATTATTATTATTACTATTATACGATAGAACGTCGTCTGTTGATCTTTGCTTACGAAATCCATATTGATGATCGCTCAAGATGTTGAAGTCTTCCAAATATTTGAGGATATGGTGGTTTACGACTTTTTCCATGATTTTTGATAGCAACGCGACTGGTCTATAGTTATTTGGAAGATTTTTCTTGCTTTTTTTTGAAGGAATAACTCTTTTCTTGTAAGTCTGTAAAAAACTGGTGCGAGTTCATTTGAGCACTTTCAAGTACGATGACAGGAACTTCATCAGGGCCAGACGCCTTGTTGATATGAAGTTGTTTCAAAATTCGCCTGACTAAACGCTGTCGAAAAGTAATTTTCGCCATTGTGGATTCTAGTGTGGGAATAGTGGGTGGTGCCTTTCCTAGAAAATCAACAGTGGAGTGGGACGCAAATTGTTCAACTAGTAGATATGCTTTTTCTATGGCTGTTGTTGCAATTGAACCATCCGCTTATATTAGTGGTGAAATTGTGGATTTTGTAAAGTTTTGATTACCAGCTTTAGCTACCGACCAGAAGGATCTGGACAGGGTGGGATTGGTAAGCAGTTTATCCCTAATTCTGCAGTTATGCAGTTCTATGCTTTCATTTATCCTAAGTTTGCATCTGTTGCGAGCATTAACAAACCTAGTTCAGTTTTTGGCACTGGGATTTTTTGCGCCACTGCCGGTAGGCGAGGTTTTTGAAGGCCATACTGTCACCTCACAAACCACAAGAGGAGACTAAATCATCTGTCGGTAACAAATAAGACAGATGGGTATCCGCGGCTAAGCTAAACAGTGGAGACGGGAGTGGATTAAACAACTTAGCAAATTTCAAATAGATCTTAATGGGCGCCAGGTAAATTTAATCCTCCAGATACCCTAAGTAACTCACAATATCAATAACTTACCAATTAATATTGGAAATAAAAGATAAAGATCCCCAATATGATTTATTCAGTAATCCTAACTTACATGGATTAACCAACAACGCTTCTAAGACAACAATGCAATATTCACACTACTACGCGATGTTCAAATGTCCATACAAGAGCGCGGTGTATCTAACCACGAATTCAATCAGCCNGATTGGCAATAGGAGAATGCGTAAGTACTGGTCAAAGCAGTTAGTCAGGGAGCATACATTTATTCTTGTACATTTCAGGTATGGTTTTCTATGGAACGGAAGATTCCCATTACTATGATGTTAAATGAATAAAATCTACTTGTAACTTAATTACATTGTTAATATCCAATGAATAAAGATCTTAGAAGGTAACGTAGTGTTTTGAAAGGTCACATAGGAGCAGTATTGATCTAGTGCTAAATTGAAACGTAACAATACCTTGCTCGCAATTTTTGTTGAACCCAAGTTTGCCGTTGGAAGGTCATATGAAATAGGTTGTATGGTTAACAAAATACAGAGCTTCTTTGGAAGACGCTTCTTTTCGTTGCTTTTTGTATCAACGACTAAAGTGTTGTCATACTGAGTATTATTTTTACGCAAAAGGAATCCAATTTAAAGGCAGAGGTATTTATTATTCAGATCCATGTATTTCATGGAGTGAGAGATGCTCGTCTGTTATATAAAAAGTTTTTCTACTATAAAAAACATATGATAGAACTGACCGATACTTGAGGAAAATCCTTCACGACATATTCATAAAACATACGTTAATGTGAGATTTCCACTTGAAAGTTTAACCGCGATATACCTGAATATGCTATCGTATAGCGAAACACATGTCAATTTTTAAGTGGAAATCTCACTTTTAAGGGTATTTTTTGAATACGTTATTAAAAACATGATTGAAAAGTTGAGTTCTTAGAAAATAATTTCAAATTATATTGTCAGTAATCCAGCATACTGAGGTTTCATTTTGTCTCTGATCTGTACTCAGTCTAATTCTTGAATCTCATCTGGTCTCAATGAAGTGAGTGTGAAGGAAAATTCAGGTCCCAAAATGAATGACTATATTCTTCAAATCTTCACGTATCTGTTAGGGACTCTCTTATTTTTACTTGTTTATATTTATTGAATTGTAACATGAGTCTACTATATCTTCAAAATATTTTTTTTCCATGAGATTTACTTACACATACATATACATTCATGAGAATGACCTTATTGGTTTCCTATTTCTCTTTCATTATTTGAAATAATGCAGGAAACTTCCAAAGAAAGGAAGAAAGTGATAACTTCAATGAAGACTTCCTGAATAGATGTGCAGATCATAGCGGAGATTCTTTCAGATATAAGATGTAGCAAAGCATCCACTCAAAATAACTACTATCAAATATTTTGCTAGTGTTTTTCAAATTGCAAAAATCAATAGTATACATTGAACAAAAGTTAACCTCCCACAATCTGAAAAAAATTAAAATTGTAAGGAGAACTTGAATACACTGTCCCGTTACTTAGTGAAAATCAATAAGTAGCACTATTCATGATGATAATCACAAATTTTCACAGTATTGACGTGTTTCACTACAATTTCTGAAAAAAATCCTGTAATAATGAAACGCGTATTGAAAATGGAGTTTTCATTGTTGAAAATTGTAATTATCATCATAAATAACTTTATGAAGATGTGAATAGGCAAACTTTTCAGTTTCCACCGATAAGTGTAAACTGTAAATTCAAAGAAGAACGTATCAGCAACATGTCATATTTAATGAACGAAAAGAAGAACTTGTACAGATAACTATGTTATATCTGGAGAGAAGTGTATTTCAAAGAGCTCCATAGAAATGGATCGTACTTGGCTACCTGTTTAGTAGCAAACTTCAACAGACTAATAGTAGGAAATACTCTGTACTACATCGAATATGCCGATAGTCAATAAACGATAGTAGCATATTCCATTCAATATCAAAAACCTATAAGATACTGCTGATTATTTTCAATTCTGAAGATGTAGACAGATTTTGGCTTCCTAAACAATAAGATATGTATCTGTACAAATTTTGTTAGGGCAATTTGAAGTAAATAATGACAACGTACGCAGCGCCCTCTAGATGTTACATGAAAATTAATACCAAATTATGATTTCTCACGTCAATAAAACTCTGGGTATCAAATTTCGTGCAAATAATTTATTTTTTCATTATATTTGAAGAACGAACAAAAAAATTATATAGTTTATATATAGTTTTTTTTTGAAATTATCTCAGGATTGTATCACTTGAAAATTTAAACGTTCTTATGTTACACCCTTGTATGGGTCTAAAATTTCATTTGATTGAAAACGCATTATTCGCATTCGTTCACGATGAATGAATATAAATCGTGAAAATACTAACAAAACTAAATTTGAATTTACTAGAACTGGAACGAACCGCTGGCAGAGAACAACTCCAAAACAAACACCAGAACTGCAACTCTTTTCTTGGTTAGTGATTTCAACTTGATTTGTGAAACACGCGACGAGAAGAGTGTTGCAGTTTTGTGGTTTTGGAGCAGTGCTCATTTTCAATTGAATACTCTTATTATAACTGAAAAATTCCACCACAGAGAAATGACGGGAAGTCTTATGTGTATAACGTTCGGGTTGACACTGTAAATTTCTGTTTACTTGTAAAAACACTTTGATGATTAAATATTTTTGAAATTAAAAAAACAAGTTGCACTGTAAACTATTGAATTTAAGTGTGTAGTACATAATCGAACTCGTTGAATTTCATTTCAAACCAATTATAATTTATATGAGGGCAATCAGCCATATGAGTACCTATGTCGCAACTGCATTATAAACAAACATTCCAAAAGTATGGTTATAAGACACCACTTTCTGAGACATTTTAGAGGGGATAAAATATGTTGCAAGTGATAGACTGGTACCGGATATGACGACAAACGCACTTCCTTTTATGAAACTGGAACATTTTCTCGAAACCATCAATGTCGCGTCGTACAGAACTGATGTTTATTGTTGATATTTCATATTTCATGCTGTAGAGTTATGATTTTGCTTACAATTCCGAAGAGGATGCCGTTTGAAAATTATTTTAGATGTACCTGATCACTGAAAAATTCAGAAGCCACATTGTATAGTTTTAATCAAAATAGAACCTAGTTTCAAGAAACAGAAAATCACAGAAGCTTGGCTTTGCAGTAGACTGCCTTTAGGAGCCTCGTTCTTCATTGATATTAGTAATATGAGTCATCAGTCAAACCCCTAGTTGACCTGTGGGGAGATGACATCACCTTCTCCTATTTCTGGTCATTTTAAATTATCCATTTTGATAAAGTTGAAAAACAAATTATATCTGTAATAATTTATTAATAAATAGCTATATGTACACAGTCAGGTCGATATCTCCTAGTGGTAGTATTGGGCAACAGGAGCAGAGTATGCTACTTTGGCGATGGCAGGTTGAGCATACGCAAGTGGAGTAGCGAATTTAGCTACTGGTGCGGCGTAGGCAACTGGGGCAGCAACTTTGGCAACAACTCCTTTCTGGACAAGAGGTTCCCTGTTTACAATAGCATTGAATCCGTTCACAGGGTCTGCTGTATAGTCGACGGTACGTCTATAACCATCGGCGTCAATGAGGGAGTAACTACCGTGGACAACATCACCGTCACGGGATTCTTGCTGACTTTTGCTGTCACCGGTCAAACCATCTTGGATATCGTAGGCGTAGTTGTACTGGGGATGAGGATCGTATTCTTCAGAAACGACAGCTTTAGCTACTGGAGAAGCATATGCCAAGGGAGCTGCTATTTTCGCGACTGGTGCGGCATATGCAAGAGGTGCGGTTGGAATTATTCCAGCTTGAGCAACTGCCAGACATGCGGCGAAGGCGATGAACTGAAAGTGTCAGAAAAATTATTGCAATCATTTAAATGCACGGAAAAATATAGATCTACTTCATGTATAAGAAAGTAACTCGAATAATTTCGGCATATCTCCGTTGTGAGAGTAAGGATAGTAAAAATAAATCAAGAAACAGATCCAAATAAATTGATGGATGTAGCCGTTACTACTTGGTAGGAGATCATGAAAAAAATAGAATTGAAATTTTCTATGTTTTCACCACTTTTATTTGTAACTAACGTTACTGCAGTTTCGACCTATAAGGACATTTTCAAACTTATACGTTAAACGCATACGGTGAGTAAACTAAATCGATTTGACGAAATAATTTAATGTTACAGAAAACCAATGTTGGAGTTATTGAAGTTTTTAGTTATTCATTTTCATAATTCGAGTTCGTAAATTTCAAGATAGAAGATTGAATATATTCGTATTGTTTAGAAATTGAAGATCCATTATGCTACTTGAGAATTATTTGGAACTGTTTTCATTATTATCATTATTCATATTCATATTATCAGTATTCAGTTAATGAAATTTTCGTGATATATTAGTATTAGTATATTCATGATATGAAGACATTTTTTTTCAAATTAGATATTGTTTTATCAGATTGATTTCAAAATCATTAAAAAAATGAGTTTCCTAAAAGTTGTAAAAGTTGCTATATGGTAATTTTCAATTATAAAACATACATATTTCGTTTTTTCATAAACTACACCTCACGATTTCATATCCAAAAACTTTTTTCGAAAAATATATCACGACATATGATTTGAAATCACTGTTGATAAAGCTACTGTGTTAGCGAAACATTTCGTGATATATTTTTCGAATAAAGTTTGTGAAGATCAGATCGTGAGGTGACGTTTATGAAATTACTATGGATCTTCCTCAAGTAACAGCCGAATCAATCAGAAAAACATATATTTCGGTTTTTTATCTCCGTAAAAGGACTACGAAGGATTACTTCACCCTAGTACTATTGAAACGAGTACAAAGTGTAATGATAGAGTTGTTAACGTTTGATACTCATGTGAGATTTCATTTTTGACGTGAATACTAACAAAAATTCACAAAATGATGGATATAACTCTCTTTAATGCATAGATTAGTTTGGGTTCGGATCAGTTTAATGGTCGAGCAATGTTGAAATGAATATTGTCTGAACATATTGAACAATAATTTCAATTCCGGAATATATTCTTTTGTGTGTAGTTTCATCTTTATTATGAGTTGATGATAAAAAACAATCGAAATGATTTTCTCTTTCAAGTAAGACTTCGCTAATCCTCAACTCCCACATGTTCCGACTTTTGAGAGTAGTCGTTCGTAGTGCTAGTTAAAGTTAAAACTTATTTTCCCAAATTTCAAGAGACAAGTATAAATGATTGAGAGGACACATGGCATTTCGACAAGAAGGATGTCACCCAAAAACTTCTTTTAGAATACAGCCAAAGTTCTGCTACGTTCTGAAATGAATATCCAAATGTTACTAAATGTCTTTACGTGAGATGTATTGTGATATTGGCAATACATTGACAGATTGTTAGTAATTCAGTAAATGATAAGCTTCTTCAGAAAAGTTACAGTAAAGAAAATACTGACAATCTGGTAGTACCAACCAACGAAGAGAACGTTTTCCATTTCTGAAAATAGTTATTACTTTTAAAACCTAACTCAAATAGAGTAACCCATTTAAAGGGTATCGAGTAATTTTTAGAAGTGATGTAAAAACTGAACGTCATACCTTGAATGCCATTTTATATGGTGTGAATATACCGCACACTTCGAGACGATGATCTCTTGATACCACTCGAACTTTTTATATACTTATCAAAACACTACTCCCGAAATCGAACAATGTACACTTGTTGACCCTCAAGAAATATCGGCATCGCCCATAGTAAAGGGGTACAACTTTCATTTTTTGCCGATGGGTGACACCTCTCAAATGTAGTTCATCGGACATTGTTCTAAATAGAATGTGGGCAGTGTAGGTTGACTATGTAATAATAACATATAACAGCGTCAAGTTACATTATTGCTTCAGTTACTTCGTGTGACAAGTATTAATTGGGCCCCGCCCCTAAATAATTTGAATTTAACTGCTAAATTATTCAACATATCTATTGAGATATCAATATTGATCTTCAATAATGTTTTTCAAGAAATACCAGTTACTTCTTTTCTTGCAGGAAAGATTCCTTGTGTTGAAATTTTCATTTTCACGATATGTAAAATGAATAAATGTAGACCAACAAAAAAACTTTCCGACAGTAACAAGGGGATAACTCAAAAATTCGCTCAAAACATTGCTGCGTAGTATACACACCAGAGAAAAAGTTCAATCAATCTGTTAATTACTTGCGGAATTCATAAACTTTTTCATGAATTTGAACAAAAAACAATTTGTATACTTCGTTTTCCTTCATAAACAGTAAAAGTTTGGGAAGTATATCGCTTTCCATTTTCAAATCCAGATTATTTCACAAGAAGGATCTCCTATTGGAGATCTGAAACTGAACTGATTTCTCAGAAAACAGATCTGAAAACAAAAAGCATTTGAGAATCATCTATCTCTGAGATTCGTTTACTGAGTTTCGCGTCGTTCGCAAAGATACGTCACCTTTTCTTAGGCTTGTCCTTTAAAAATAGTCCAGCAATTCAAACACCACTGATGAGACATATAGCGTCGAAACAAGGATATTTGTAATGGATAACAAATGTTTGGTTTCTGGTTCCGACATGAAAAAAATTGGTTTCAAACTACTGAAGCTTCTTAACATATTCAAGTAACACTTCATTGTGAGATTTTTACTGATCAGTTTACATAACCGCTGTTCAACACTATAACTTTCTGGAAGTCATCCTGCAGATTATCGATGGATATACACATCCATAGTAAATTCTACTTGAGTATACAAGATGAATAAATTAACAAAATGTACCTGAAATTACTTTTTGACTCGTATTCACTTGTTTCGACATAAAATAATTTCAGAATACTCGAACAATTTGACAAGTGTGAACGCTCAAAAAAAATTCATGAAATTTTTCCTTTTCTAACCGAGTTCTACTGTACCTCCAAACAAAATAGGAATGGTTTATAACAGGTTTTTACAAATTTGCTAATTTGACATATCATTAATCTTTCTTTAAACTGAAAACGAAAATTTGCGCACCGGTCTACTTTCGCATATATTATGGTAAATTAAAAAAAAAAAAACACTTAGGGTAATAAAAACTTGTGAAATGACATCCTTTTTTCTAGAATGCAACTTATACATACTGAACATACAACATATTCAATTCACTCAATATTTCATCTTTTCCAGTGAACTATATAATGTTGTAAATAATTGATGAAGCTAATTAACATTTACGCAAGGAAATATTCAAATATCAAGCTAGAAATGGAAGCCATGGAGTCAAATATAATTCTTTTTCTCCGATTTTTCTGTCTTCTTGAACAGAGATCAGTAAAAATTTCGAAATTTGGCCTTATAATTTTTATTTTTCAACTTCAGTTTCTCGTGATAATAATAAACAAACCCTAGTCAGGCAACGATGTCAATATTATTGAGAAGAAAATATATTTTGGTGGGATATTTTTTTTTTTAATCCTGTGAAACCATTTTTGAAATGAGTGAATGAAGGTCAGTAGCAGCCGGAAGTGAAAAAAAGTGTTTCATCCCAATTCACCTCAAGAAGAGACTTCTTGAAGTAGTTAATTTTTCAGCAGATTCGACTTTTGAGTGACCGTATTTCCGAAAGGAGATCTATTAGCTAATTTTCAACTCCAGATTCACGATCAGCTGGCAAAATACGTGGGTCGAGTTAAAATATTTTCGAAAATCAGTAGAAAGCGGAAAAACGAACTTCCACTTTGCAGGAGGTTCATGATAACTGGATTACTGAATGATTAGTCAATATTATTGACAAGTCGAGGACATGTCAGTTATCATTTTAGAAAACAAAGTGGGTTTAATTTCAATTAGGATCTGTTGTTGCATATCGAAAAGCATTGGAAAGAAACATCCAACAAATATCTGTTGATTCAAATTCAGTTTCCTTTATTGTGGTATAGTATACTTCCTTAAGCAGCGGGGTAATGAAACATTTTCAAGTCGCTGTTCCATAGGCGTACATGATTAACTTCCAAAAAATCTTCAAAGAGTCCTTAAAAAATGTTGATTCCGAAAAATGGCGAAACATGAACATGTTATAAAAGAAGAGGAAAACATGTGTAAATCTGACCATTCATTTGAGGACACTATAGAATTTTTAATCATAACATTGGTCATACCTAGTATCTTTCAAAATTAGAATACCCATTTATCATTATGTGAATATTTCAAATTGAGATTTTTGCAAAGAATAGGGTTGACTCGGTAATGCATTATATAGCCGTATATATAACCTTTGAAAAATCATAATGGAATAAAATTTTTTTACATTTATTACTTTCCACACTGAGGAAACAAAGTATAGTCAGGAAACTAGTTACTTTCAAAACTCATGTAATCACATCTTCTGATATTCAATTATTAGCAAATGATTGAATGTGCTGAAGATTTTCTAAAAGATTTTATTGAAAGTTATTCCTTTCATTTTGAGGAATTATGTGAAATAATGAATTGAAATATTTCTTTTCAGTTTCAGGTAAGGGAAAATTCTCTTGAATTGGCAGATTCGTCAGGTAAGAATTATTGGATGAATGAGTTATAATAGATTCAGGATTTGAGTCGTTGATAATTTTTATACCATATATTAGGGTGAATTGGATACAGGGAGGTGAAATGATTTTTCGCAAAAACATGTCATTTTTGGTAATGTGAGTAACAATTTTGTGCAAAAAAAAGGAATTTAGTCGAATGAATTCGAATGCTATTCAATTGTACTTTGTAACCTTGAAACATGTCGTTTGAAAAGTTACGCACATTTTGTGAGTTTTATTAAATAGACTAGTTTACCAAAACGCCAAAGTAATAAAATTTATAGTTTGTATTCAAAATATTGTAGGTACTTTGGAATCAGTGGGGCACTTCTACAACTCACGCCTGTCGCAATGGTCAATTTTCTTGAACTGAGCGTATTATTCCTTACACTTTTACCAATACTGCAATCTCTATTACAACTTCAGTAAGAGTCGGATTCACTTACACCCTGCCTCTTTTCATTTTGTAGCGATCCTATTACACGAAATTGTTTCACCACTTCCCCAGGATACCGTTGGTTGAATACTTGGGCAATCCGATTTACACATTCATCAATTCCACCCTTTTTGAAAGTGAACAATTCAGAAAGTTTTAAAAATAATTTCCGCATACCCCACTCACTACAATCCTAACGAGAGACTTTGCCAATTTCATTTAATCTTTTGGTAAGCAACAACCCAATACTTGCTGAACGGCATGTACTGCAAATTATTCCGAAGAAATTCATATTCAACATTCATGAATACATTAGGTTTGTATTTAAACTTTAGTTACCTTCTGCATTTTCCGGGTAACGTATTGTTGGCATTTCAAAGTTGCGTATATTCCAAACGAGTGAAGCGATTTCCAAAAGAGAAGCAGTAACAGATAGCAAATAAGGAATTATTTTCAACAGGTACCTTTCGACCTCCTATTAGAAGTGCTGCAGATTTTGCAATGATTTCTAGGTCAAAACTGATTCCCTCAAAAATGAAGTCAACATATATTGAATATTCTCGAAGAGTTTTTTCTCTGGAACTTCTGTCCTGTGGTTTTCGGTGAGATATTATGCATAATTTCACACTTCATCAGTAACTTCGATAAAACAAGTTCAAAATCGAATATATGAGTACAGAGTACATGAGTAAATCGTTTAATGTACATGAATTCACTTATATTACTATTACAAACATAGATGGATATGAAAAAAGTCGGAAAACTAATGAAAATGTATACATCAAGGAATATGAAACGTAAAAAACCTGCATAATTCAATCATTCAGGAGCTTAGACTGAGTTGTCAAAGTTTTCTTAACTGTTATCAACGTTGACATAATATGTTCCATCGTCTCAGCTTTGAATTGAAAAATATATAAAAATTCAATACAAATACTGACAGCAGGATAGCACAAACAGCAAGAAACTCTAGAAATGTTAAAATTCGCCATAGAGGTATCTCCCTTCACTCATTTCCTTGATTTTCCAGATATTAACGTATTGATTTCGGTGAAAAATCAAGTAGAATCCAAAATACTGTCATTTTAGATACTACTAAAAAATTCTTAAGTTAGTCGAAATGAAATAAAGTTCATTGATACTGTCATACTACCTGGGCTGAAAGGTCTCGGGCCTAACACATATATGGCGCTAGTCTTATTGCATTCACCGCTTTTTCCCTTAACAATAACCTTCAACCTTATCTACATAAATGACTTGGCTTTTATAGATATAACGGCCACAATTACTCTCTTTGCTGATGACACCACTTTATTATGGCACAACAAGGACATTCCTATCCTTCAAGATGCCATCTCAGCTGACATCAACAAAATCAAAGAATGGTGCGACTGCAATAAGTTATCATTCAATATCAATAAAACTAGCAAACTTACCTGAGATCTGCCTTGCTGACAAAATCTTAGACAGGGTACATAATTATAAATTTCTAGGGTTGAACATTGATGATAAACTGAAATTTAAAAATCACACAATAAACTTAGGCAAGAAGCTTGCCTCAGGTTGCTATGCACTAAGAGTGATTTCTAGAGAACTAGACTACTGCCATTCAAGAACAGCTTATTTCGCTTCAATAGATCCCCATATTAAATATGGAATTGCCTTCTGGGGAGTCTGTTCTAGAGATTTATTTCAAATGATTGTTGTGCTCCAAAAAAGGGTTGTCCGATATATGTGCAAAGCAGCTCCCAGGGATCCATGCAAGCCTCTTTTCATAGCTCACGGTATTTTAACAGTAGCTGCCCTGTTTATCTTGGATTCAATTTGCTTGATAGAAAAACATTATTCTTGTGCATCTCCCCCTTCCTCATATAATACTCGTAGCCACAATAGTAACATAGATCTGCCTATTCCTGCGAGGTCCCTTGTTAGGGATTCAATTATATTCAACGGGATCAAACTGTTCAATCACTTACCAGCCCGAATTAAAGAAATTATAGTTCTTAACAAATTCAAAAAAGCAGTTAAAATGCTACTTGTTGATAGGGCCTATTATTCAGTTCAGGAGTATCTTGACAATTCACTTGAATCTTAACTTTTATTTCTGTCTTCTTATTTCCAGCTGAATATCTCAGTGTATTTCACATTTTTAGCTTATGTTTATTGTATTTTGTTTAAACTGTTTTATGTTTTTTTATGTAGATTTTTGTATCTTATTATTTATGACTTTGTCTACAAGACAATAAAGACAAAGACTTCAGACAATAAAGTATATTTGATTGATTGATTGATTGAAAGCTGTTGAAATTTGATGATATTCTACTCATGTAGAATATCATCAATGTATCAAAAACAATATCGTGTTTTAATTTTACACTTGATGGGAAAAAATACCGTTTGAACGAAGCAATAATTCGGATGCAGACGTCCAAATGAGGCACCAGAAAACATTAAAAAAAAATCATAAAATTGTTTAGACTAATCAAAAAGTGAAGTTGCGTGGGTGAGCTGATATCAAATAAACGTGTTGGCTTTACAATGCATGAGCATTTGACTATAAGGAAGCTCTTTTCAAAGTGGGTGTCGCGTGAGCTCACTGTTGACCAAAAACAAGAACGTCTTGATGATTCTGAGATGTTTGCTTCGATATGTGATAATGGATGAAGCATGGATCCATCACTCCACTCCGGAATCAAAACGATCGTCATCTGAGTGGAGAGTGGTGAACCTCGTCCAAAGCGCTCGAAAGCGCAACAATTAACTGGAATGGTTACGGCCTCGGTGTTTTGGAATGTGCCTGATATAATATTCATCAACTATCTTGAGAAGGGAAATACCATCAACAGTGACCATTACATAGCGTTGCTGGAGCGTTTGAAGGCCAAAATTGTAAAGAAGTGACCGCATATGGCAAAGAAAAAATGTTTGTTTCATCAAGACTACGCACCGTGTCACGAGTTAATAAAAACAATGGCAAAACTACATGAGTTGAACTTCGAATTGCTCTCACATCCACCGTATTCGCCATATTTGGCTCCCTGTCACTACTGACTCGTAAACTTGATTCCACACGTACAAGAGAAAAGGAAGAATTCTTCCAGAAACGCAGAACTTTCTACAAAAGAATGAAAAAACAATGATTATTTTTTTGAGTGAGAAGTCATGTGAAATTCATCTTTTGATAGAGGGCCACGTGTTCAATCATATTTACAGTGTACTCGTACTGCATTTTGAAGAGCAAAGCTTGAAACTCAGAAACCAATAATGAATTTCAATGATGAATTTGTTGATTAGGATAATTGTTAATTATGCGGTCACAGGCAGTTTTTGTATTATTATATATGTATAAATTGTACATTATATTCATTCAGAAGCTGAAATCGAACTTCCAAGCATCCGAGACTTTACAGGTGTATAATTATGGGAAGTAAAGGTTTGACGAAAATCCAAAGAGATAAGAAATTGGATTTATTGATAAATAAATATGAACTCGACGTTGTAGTTATCGAGAAATTATGATATCCCAATCTTATATTCCTGAATTGTTAAGTGAATGTTTTAAAATCAATAAATTTCTTGAGTTAGAATAACGATAACTTCTCGATTGTTCCTAGTTACCAGCTTTTCTTCCTGAAGTTTGATCGAGTCAATAGTGGTAGTAGGTTCTGTACTCCGGCACAGATGAGTAGTATGTAGGATTGAACCATGGATAGCTGAGTGGTAACGCAGAATAAGTCAAGTGGTTAATCACAGGAGCGTGAAAAGATGTAAAACCTGAAATGATGAAAAAAAAATAATAACTTCTGAATATTTGTTCATAAAGATATATGTTTCTACTCAATAATCTACATATTGATAAAAAATGTTATCTGAGCCATCGCTATTACTTCTATATTGAATAATTTCTGAAGTTATATTTCTCTTTCTAGTTTTTTCAGAATTACCAACTAACTCTTGTCTATGTTTGTGATTTTAGACTATCTCAAATGATGTAGTATTCAGTTCAATCTGATTTGAAAAGTTTTTCAATATCTGTTGATATCTACCAAATATCATGTAGACTACTCGATCTGAACACTAATATAAATACGGGCCGTGTATTGACAACTTCAAGTATCAATTTAGTTTTTCACTGTAATGAAATATAAGTAGTAAATCATCTGAAAGGCTCACAAATCAATATAATGGAGTGAACGGACAAGGCATATATGTATCCCAATCAATACATATAGAAAATTCAAAACTGATCCCTCTATATTTTTCTGTACCTGTGTGCGTGCTATTCTCGAAACAGACTTTCCACCAAGCATGCATGACGCCGACAAATCAGGACATTCAGTGCCACAACTACAGCCGATGTAAACAATTATACCCGCAGATGTTCTAAGTTACATGGATTACCAAAGATCCGCAAACAAAACACACCCCTAAGGCCAATCGTCAGCGAAATCGAATCTCCACTACAGCCATTCGAAATATACCTGGCCAGCATTATGCAGCCATGAACACAGCATTTACAGTCTCATGTCACATCGTGTGTGAAATAAGTTTCAATTATACCCATCAACTAACTGAGATGTTTCGATACTTACCGTGAGGCACATTATAACGTGCAACGGTCGGTCCATGAACAACTGTCGAAGTAGTTGAAGATACCGCAGAAGCCACCGGAGCTACATTTGCCACAACTGGGGTTGCACTTTCTACTTGGGCGACGGGAGCTACCAAGGGGGCTACTACATGCGCTGATATTATCGAAGGTGTTTTTCTCACCACTGCATTGAATCCGTTGACATCGTCGGCAGTATAATCGACTGTACGACGTGTACCATCAGGATCATTCAGCGAATAAGAACCTGAAACAAATATTGATATTTTTACATATTTGATGGATGTTTTGTGAAAGTTAGTTTTTCCACAATAACAGTCACGGGACTGATAACATTGTTAACATTCAAAATACATAAGTATGATACATTCAGTGTACATACAGTAAATCTATTCATATTTTTCGCGAACACTAAAATGGTATAGCAGAAAAAAGCACCTTTTACTAACATTTGATCTCAATATGTCTTCTTTAAAGGTTTATAGTTTCGGTAAGTGGAAAAAGTATTATCTTAGAAATCAAAACAGTATTTCAATAAAGGTCTAATCTTCATCTAGTTATTTTTTTCTATTAAATTACTAGTTTCCACAAAGAATTCAGCGGTACATTATATTTCAAAAAATACTATTTTCATGAATTACTCAAAATTTTGAAAGAATTTTAATGTAATAATGCGAAATATAAGGAAGATTATATTTTATTCAGTTCCATAAGTAATATTCGAATCATCCTTCATGAATCAAACTTGACGATCGTTGTTTGGTCTTCTCAAAACACATGTAACTTTGTTATATAGGTATTGTATGAATGTGATTTTCAGAGGGATACACAATGTTAGTCATAACCTCAAGTTATCAAGTACATTTTTTACCAATTTGTTTTACAATTTTGTTGCAATGTTTTGAATTTCTTATAGATGTCTTGATAAAGGAAATAAACATTCTCGAAAGCTCGACCATATAACAAAGAGTATTCTTTAAACAACAGCCCAGTAATTTTGACTGCATCCCCAACAATATTCCGTATTTCTTCTTAACTAGTCAGTCAAGACTTATATATATATATATATATATATATATATATTTTGTTTCATATTGGTTCTATATACCTTGAACTTTATCACCACTTCTTGTTTCTACTTGACTTTTGCTGTCACCAGTAAAGGGATCATGGACATCATACCCAAAGGTATATTGTGGAATATGGTTATCTCCATTATCTACGAGATTCTGTCCTGCAGAGTCAAGAGGAACGGCAATTGCAACTGCCCAGAAAGCAATAAAGACCATAACCTGAAAAAAAATTAAACACAAAATAAAATATGCAACTGCAAGTGATGGAAACGTGCTCTAATGGTTTCTATATTAGTCAATTGTATACACTTGATGATGATGAGATTGATTGAAATTGAAAATGTTTGACGAAGTGATTTTTTTTGAAATAATTGTGAAATATTTTCCAATATCGACTATTGGGGTCATTGTCTCTATATTTCGAATTACCAATAAACTTGTTGAATCTTATTATAAGCTATAATAATAAATATGCTTTATTGTCCAAAGAGAAACAAAGTTTTGGTGAACATTGCTTTTTTGAGAAAAAAAAACATAGTCAAGTACATGAAATCAGAGTATAAGCTAGTAGATTGATAAAAATATCTAGAGTCCTACCATAAAAATAAAAAATAAATGAACAACGCCATTCAATCACACGGAATACGTCGTTTAGCCGAACTGTTGACTACAACGTTCAACACTACAGCTAGACGACGCTTAGCCAACTGGTTAAATGGCAAATTAACAAGGGTACCCATTAGTTCAATATGTAATTTGAAAGAATAGGAAAACTTTTTGTAATTTCTTGGGAAATTATTCTTGGATTAAGTTTAAGAGGTGACCAAAAGTTTCTTGTTAATATGAATTAGAAACATAATAATCACGAATCCGAAAGAAAAAAGCGGCACTTGTTGGAAAAGCTCAAAATATATGTTATAGAGCCATCTATGGTTGGCTATGAATATTATCATCCTCTATTATGTAATAAAGATGTACAAAGTAATATAGTTAGTCTGTGCTGAGAACTCAACTAGAGCGTTTCATTTCAATAGGTAATGGGCCCAGATACCACGCGTTGGGTGTGAAAGAAACAATTTGATATTGCACAAGTATGTCTAGTAACTATATAGTAAATGTTCCCAAGTTAAAGGGACGTGAAAATTATAGTGATTGGGTATTCGCCGTTGAAAACTTCTTGGTGCTTGAAAGGACTTTTAAAGTGTATATCAGAAGTAGTGGTAGACGACGACGCCAAAGCAAAAGCAAAATTGGTATTCACCATCGACCCATATCTTTATATTCATGTGAAGGAAGCCCAAACAACCAAGGAACTATGGGACTATGGGAAATTCATGTTTGATGATAGCGATTTCGCGAGGAGGATCAATCTACTGCGAAGTTTAATTTCGATTCGTTTAGAAAACTGTGATTCAATGGGCAAATACGTGAATCAGATTGTTGAAAATGGGCAGAAATTACGTGGAACGAGTTTCAAAATTGACGATGAGTGGATCGGATCATTGCTATCAGCTGGTTTACCTGAAGAGTATTCCCCAATGATCATTGCTATTGAACACTCCGGTATTGCCATATCTACCGATGCCATCCGTACAAAGTTCCTCGATATGGAAGAGAGCGCCACCAGTGTGACAGGTAATGCGTTCAGCAGTAAAATTTTTGGGCGCAGACAGACAACTGTTGGAAACAATGCTGCGTCAAAGTCAAATGTCAGGAATGCCCAAATAATGATCATGCTGATTCCAAAGGAACCAAGAGACAAGCATCGTCAAATGCGTTCAGTGCTAATTTTCTGAATGATGCGTTTGTTAAATATGATTGGTATGAGGACTCTGGTGCGAGTTATCACCTTACTGCCAATGAAGAGTTATTGAGTAATGTTTCAAATAACATCATAACAAAACATATAACTGTTGCAAATAACACACAATTCACAGTGAGGTTCATCTGAAAACTGAAGTGATGAAAAAGTGTTTTAACATTACAGTTAAAAATGTACTCTATGTTCCGCGTTTGACCACAAATTTATTATCGGTTAGCCAAATGATAAGGGACTGAAATAGTGTCGAGTTCCAAGAGAATTGTTGCAGAATGTTCAACAAAGAAGGCCTATTGGTAGCAAAAGCAGATATGACAGATGGGGTTTACAAATCAAACGTTCACAAAGATAAATGTTCATTAGCTGGACCTGCAGTCTCTGGAGACGTTTGGCATCGCAGATTTGGACATATTAATAGCGAATATTTAAATAAAATGAAAAATGGAATGGTCAAAGGTATTGACTATCCTGGTACTGTTGAAATTTCCAGTCAAAACTGTATTGTTTGCTGTGAAGGTAAGCAGTCGAGATTGCCTTTTCCCCAGAAAGGCAGACGTGCTAAAGACTTACTTGAAGTAGTACATGGAGACGTTTGTGGTCCTATAAAGAACAAATCTATTGGTGGATCTGAATATTTTTTGTTATTGGGGGATAATTACAGTCGTATGGCTTTTATATACTTCCTCAGAAACAAGAATGAAGTTTTTGATTGTTTTTAAACTTTTAAAAATATGGCTGAAAATCAACAAAAGAAAAAGATAAAATTGTTCAGGTCAGACAATGGAGAGGAATTTTGCTCAAAAGAATTTGAAAATTTTCTCAAAAGCTGTGGTATAATACATCAAAAACGAATCCTCACACTCCTCAACAAAATGGCATGTCAGAGAGATTGAACAGAACCATTGTTGAGAAAGCCAAGTGTTTGTTATTTGAAGGAAATTAAGAAAAACGTTTTTGGGCTGAAGCTGCACATACAGCTATATTCACGGAATAGATCTATAGCTTCTGGAATTTCTGTGACACCTTATGAATTGTGGACCGAAGAGAAGCCAGATGTAAGCGGATTGAGAATATTCGGAAGCATAGATGGTTCATGTTCCAAAGGAGAATCGATTAAAATGGGACAAGAAAGCAGAAGAACATTGTAATCTTCAGCAGAGATGTAATCTTTATGGAAAAATCAAATAACGAAGTGAGTATCAATGCTATTGAAGATATTAAAAATGATACTGGAAGGAAAATATATTCAATGGGAGAACTATCTGTAGTTAATGAAACTCTTGAAGAAGAAGTTTCCGATGATGAAACAGATTATTCTGATTTTGTTCCTGAGTGTGAAATTAATGTAGGAAGGAATGTAAGGAAATCAGAAAGAGTTCCCAAACCTGACAGATTTCATGCATATGTAACTTACCTATGTCTGGATAATAGCAATCTAGAAGATGATCCAGTTACGATCGAGGATGCACTGTCAAGGGCAGATAAGAACAATTGGAAGCAGGCCATTGGAGAGGAGCTACAGTCGTTCGAAGAGAATCAAGCTTGGGAGTTGGTGGATATACCAGAAAAGGGCACTATAGAGGAGTGTAAGTGAGTGTTCAATAGAAAAAGTGATAGTGAAAATCAAGTCCGATATCGTGCTCGGTTAGTGGCCAAAGGGTCCACTCAGAAACCAGGTATTGATTATGACGAGACGTTTTCTCCTGTTGTGAAACATTCTACTTTAAGATTATTGATTGCACTAGCTGTAAAATTGGATTTAGAAATGACACATCTTGACGTAAAAACAGCTTTTCTAAATGGTGTTTTGTCTGAAAATGTTTATATGACTTTACCTGAAGGATATGAAACATTAGTTAGTGAAGTAAAGTTTTGAAATTAAAAAAGGCCATTTACGGATTGAAACAAAGCTCTAGAGCCTGGAACAAAAAGGTTGATGATTTTCTCAAATTTCTAGGTTATAAACAATCAAAAATTGAACCATGTTTATAAACAAAGATTATTGATGGATTGATCATAGTAGTTACCTTATATGTGGATGATTTTTTTATTTTTTCAAATAATAAAGCAGAAACAGATATTCTTAAATCCGAGCTCAGTGGAAAATTCAAAATTAAAGACTTGGGACAAATAAAACATTGTTTTATTTGTCAGTATGTGAATCAGATATTAACAAGATTCAATATATCAAATTGTAAAACAGCTACCACACCTATGGAATCTAATGTGAACCTTAGTGATAGTGAAAATTGTACAAAAGATGTTCCATATCAAAAATTGATAGGTAGCCTTTTGTATCTCGCTGTTTTGACTAGACCGGATATTGCCTAGTCTGTTAGTTTCTTGAGTCAATTCAACAATTGTTTCGATGAAATCCATTGGAAACAAGCTATGCATATCGTACGATATTTACAGCTCACAAAGAATTATGGTTTAAAATTTGTAAAGGATAATGCAAAGTTGGAGGGCTTTGTTGATGCCGATTGGGCAAGTAATTTTATTCATCGGAGATCTTTCACAGGCTTCTGTTTTAAGCTTTCTGATTCCGCAGTATCCTGGGAGAGTAGGAAACAAAAGACAGTCGCTTTGTCAAGCACCGAAGCTCAGTATATAGCTGTCTCGAAAGCTTCTAAAGAAGCTATTCATTTGAAAAATCTGATAAATGAATTAACTGGTGAAAATTTTTGTGTAACTTTGCATAATGACAGCCAGGGTGCTCTAAAATTAGTAGTCAATCCTATAGTAAATAAAAGATCAAAACATATTGATGTCCGCCATCATTTTATTAGAGAAGCTATTGAAAATAATTAAGTAAAGGTTAAGTTCTTGCAAATAGCTGATATGCCTGCTGATGTTTTAACGAAAGGGTTGAGTTCAGTTTAACATTATAAATTTATTAACATATTAGGCATTGTTGATGTGAAATAATTTTTTTCTTGAATATTTTGTGCTAGTGAGAGTGTTGGAAAAGCTCAAAATATATGTTATAACGCCATCTATGGTTGGCTGAGGATATTATTATCAGATATCATGTAATAATGATGTACAAAGTAATATAGTTAGTCTGTGCTGAGAACTCAACTAGAGCGTTTCATTTCAATAGCACTCTCCCTTATTCACAAAGTTACGGCCCTTCAAAGTTCAGAAAAGGGCAACTTTCCAACTTTCTTTTTCATAGGACAAATTATTTAAAAATACAAGTATTTATTCACCTAGCGCCGTGGTGGTGAGCGCTTCAGTTTAGGAATGTTTTCTGAACTATTTCCAAATCATTAAACTGATAGAAAAGGTACAAATTTTTTTTATTGACAACTTTTCTTTCGAATCAATGTACAATGATGTGATCTTTATTAACAAGTGCACTCTTCCATAGATGGCATCTTGATTAGGGTATATGTCATCGTCTTTTTTCACTCAAGAATTTCCTTCAGTGATATAAGTCCAGTAATGCATTATTGATTCAGTCTGTTATCTTTGATGAGACCTAAGGAGAGTCGAAACTTCGCTCTCTGATAGTGGTGGATCACAAATGACTTGTTTTTGGGCTCTGGTTCCAATACTCACTTCTGATATTTTTTTTTGATATGGTCAAGAAGTAGCCACGAAGCCTCGTACCCAGTGAACTGGTACCATAAGAGGGTTTGTTCGCATGGAGTGCCAACAAAAATTATGGTTTCATTTCCGACTTCAATCAATTGAATCTATCAATTAAATGTGAGCTGAGAAAGTGCATGAACTTATTGATATGGTTTTCCGAATGAAGTGTGTTTGACTAATATGGATATAGCTTGAATGAAGCTGTTCAACTAGCAAGTTGCATAAACCACTTGCTAGTTGAACTCTGAATTGCCTCTGAGTAAAAGTTGCATAAACCACTTTTACTCAGAGGCAATTTCTTACGCTCAGTAAATCGTTTCTGTTCGTATTAGCAACAAACCCGTAGACTTGCAGAAGTGTAAATGAAAAAAAAAATTTTACGTATATTCGAAGTGCGGCAAAGATTTCCGTCTTCCAGAAAATGTAAAAAATCAATGGATCGTAGAAACGAAGCAGTATTATCACTTCCTGTAACAATGCTAATTCTCCCTATAGAACAAAAGATTTCGACTTGTGTGTGTAATCCATCATTGTTTTGTCAAATGAGAATAATTTTTCAATGAATTTCAATGATCATAGTTAGTGTATCGAAATGGGATTCAGTATAAGTAAATTGTATGTCAAATGTTTTCCTGTCACACGGGAATGGTTCCAGTCTTGAACTTTCAAATGTAACAATCTCTACATTTTACCATTTCTATATTTCTGAGGCAATGCTGAATCAGAATGTGAAATTTCAAATATTATACCATAGTCACCTCCAATATCGCATCAAGGTCGACAGATGGAAATAAGAGGAGCTGGCAAAATTACATTTTCGTGTCTTTCTGCAATTATTTTTTGACTAGCACTTTCCCTATCGAATCTAACAATACTAATCAATTCAAGATTTAATTAACAGAATTACAATTAGTAAGCTAGCTGATGAATGAACTGAATTGAAATAACACTTGGTTGTCAAATTCCTACTGGACAATTCCCAAACAATTGTTGCGACAAGTGTTTCGTTATACTACATGAGCTGAAAAATCTAAGGCCAAACACATAGATGTCGCTGCTAGTCTTATTGCATTCACCGCTTTTTTCAGTCAGGACTGACCTTCAAACAATAGATCAAGAAAAATTTCGTGTTTTGATTTGACACTGCTTCTTGGTGAAAAAAAAATACCTTTCAAGCGAAGCAATAGCTTGAAAAGTGTTATAAGGACTCCTCTTTATCAGAAACAATAATTAAACGTTGGTTTGCTAACTCCAAATGCAGCTGTAGAGACACCGATGATGCAGAACGCAATGGACGTCCATATGTGGCAGTAACACCAGAAAACATTAAAAATCCACAAAATTGTTTTCAATTATTGAAAAGTGAAGTTGCTTGAGTTAGCTGACATTGTAAAGATGCCGAAAGAACGTGTTCGCTTTTTATTCCATGAGCATTTGACTATGAGAAAGCTATGTTCAAAGTGAGTGCCGCGCGAGCTAACTGTTGACCAATAACAAGAGCGCCTTCATGATTCTGAGCAGTGTTCGGCCATATTTAAACATAACAAACCAGAAATTTTGCGTCGATATGTGACAGCGGCTAAAACATGGATCTATCACTTCACTTTTAAGTGCAGAAGAGCTCAAACAAATATTATGTTTGAAGCATCAATTAATGTTGTATATTCAAATGTGTGACATTTTTAACTGCAGTAAGGGTGAATTGAGAAATAGATCTCGAGCACCTCTATAAGCAATTTGGGATAAGGGGTCATAGTGAAACGGGTAGTTTGGAAAAAGCACGGACAAAAAGCGCATAATATATATGGTATTTGACAGTAAAAGTGTGTTTTACTCAAAATCCTTTCCCGATCAGAGTCCGGGAGTATTAAGAGAAAAATTGAGAAGATATCACAATTATTATTCATTGCGAATTCGTCATCTGAATGGAGAGGAACTGGTGAACCTCGTCCGAAGCACCCTAATGCACAAGAATCGGCTGGAAAGGTTATGACCCTATTTGAAGAAAAAGAAAGTGCTACTTCATCAAGACATTGCACATTGTCGCAAGTCAATGAAAATAATCGCAAAATTGTATGAAATGGGATTAGAATTGCTCTCGCACATACTCTCTTTGTCAGATTTGGCTCCCAGCGACTACTCGCTGTTTGCACATCTAAAAAAAAATTTCACTGGTAAGAAATTCCGATCTAATCAAGAGGTTGTATTGCAATGTTAGAGCTGCACTGGAATGATTGTGTTGTTCTTGATGGAGACTACGTTGGTCAACTAGGCCAATTTTGAACAAAAAAAAACGCTTTTTTTTCTCAGGTCCGGAAGTTTCCAGCCTTTGTGTTAAAATAGCTTCCTGAAAACTCTTCAGGTAGCGATTTTGTGAGCTGTCCAGTGGAAATCGCACAATGAAATGTTATTCGGATGACGTATCGATTTTCATTATGTATCGGCCAATTCCATAACATATAATAAACTGAATTACCAAAACTCACAAAATAACTGATAAGTTCAACGATACAGGTACTATATAATCTAAAGAACCTGCACATTTTTATTTGATTTATTACCTTTCATTGTAAAATTTTTGATTTATACAATACAAGGGAATAACATTTTTCATAATATATGGCATTACATCAAAACTTTTTCGGTATCAAGTGGCAAAGTTAAATTGGTTCTGAAATTGGATCGCGTATCTGATGATCGATGATATGACAGATACTGCATGGTGTGAATTTTTTCCTTTAAGTTATCATTGAATGGAAAAATGGTATAAGCTTTCGTGAAGTGTTTGTAGTTTCTGTTGCATCTGTTACAAATAACACAGGTCAACAGTGTTTCTGTCACATGAACACTGTGGGGCCTATCCCCATTATAAATATATAATAATTTTGTTTCAATCACATCCAGTTTTTTGTGACAGATATATATTCATTTCTGACCTTATATACGTAATTTTATTTTCATTAGGTACATCGCAAATATGCAACGAAAGTATTCTACTAACCCTTACAGTTTTGTTATGTGTGTGAAGAATCACCTTTTACATCCCAGCGTCAAAATTTCACCCCATTAACTGAACATTTCTTTTAAGAATATTTTAGATTTACAAGATAAACTCTGGGTCCCAGTTACATGTTGTGGAACGTGTGTGAGACTCCTTTTTCGTTGTCTTTTATTTGTGTCAAACAAAAATAAAAGGCATTACAACGAAGTCCAAACATACCATCCAGTATTCAAACTTGTCTTCGGCCAACAGACCCATCCTACATAGTCCCGAACTGCTTGTGCCGAAGCCTCCATTGCCGACCAGAAAGTCGGGATTCCAGTCCGGAAGAACTTGTTCGCATGAGGAATATGAAAATCGTGACCCAAGTTATGAACCGCAAAGACAAAGTGACTTAAATGATTTAGTACGTGACTTGAATTTGTCTAAAAAACAAGCTGAGCTTTTGGGGTCTAGATTAAAGGACTGGTTTTTACTTTCAAAAGATTCTTATTTTCGACATTGTGGCGATGGAATAAAAGCTTACTATTGTATAGTGAATTGTCATAATATTTATGTTGTGATAAATGTATTGAATTTTGAAGTAAATGACGATTGTTCATTGACTTTTCAAAAACTAGTTTGAAAGCAGTGTTGCTGCATAACAGAAACGAACACCCTTCATTGCCGGTTGCTCATGGTTCTGCTATGGAAGGGACTTACGAAAATATGAGATTCATTCTTGANCAAAGGCATTGTAGCTACATGGGCGCGAAAATTTGGGAATCGGTACCAGATAGGATAAAATGCATAAGAAATAAAAATAAATTCGAAAAACAAATTGAAAACTGGATGAGAAACTGTAATGATGATATATTCCGTGAAACCATCAACTAGTGAAATTGAAACACTACATTTGCCTGTTAAATTGCCAATTATTTTAAAAATTAACAGTTTCAATTTTTCCGCACAATGTTATTTGTCTATTTTTTTCTTTCCTCTATTCAACTGTCCATGCACGAGTTGATTCAATATTATACTTTGTTTTATGTTTACATCACCAAGAATGAATTGAAGGAATTTTGTATATTCAGTTCCATTTTCAATAGGACGGCTGTACCACACACAAGAAACTCTTTTGAAGTTTCTTCCGTGGTGCCTTGTTCATTTTATTATTTTTTCTCAGTAATGTATTAGTAATAATATACTTGAATTTGTATATTATGAATTAAATAAACTTTATTATTATTATCAGTGAATTTCCGAATATGTTTTTATATCATAAGAGGTTTTTGAAATATTTTGAAAATTATATGTAAACATCTTTTTATCTCCAGTTCTGTCTGAGGTCTGAGAAATTGTAACCCAAAACTTTCATCTTCAGTTTCTAATAGTTTCAATTTGTTTCTGTTCAATTCGGCAGTGGATTTTTCTGCATTCATTCTTGATTGACTCTTTTTATTGAAATTTAAAGCTTTCAGCATAAGAGCACTCACTCACCTTGGATGACATCTCGGAAGTCGAAGAGATCTTCACCTAACTATCACAATCAAATGCTCTAGAAGCACCCGGTAGCATTGTTTATATAGGTTGGCTCTAAACAGAAGACATCTTCCATATCAGAAGGGGAGATAGGAGCAATATACAAGATACTTTAGATGTTTAATTTCATTGCACAATTCACGTATTTTGTATACTTCTTGTGCTTTCATTATATATGTTAGGAAATACAAACTACAACATGTGAGATCAGATATCTGCTGAATTGGTTTTTGAACACATTTGAAATGAAAGTAAGGTATCAAACCAAATCGCCGTGTATTGTTGAATAAATATACCTTTCAAACATATTGAACAGTCATTTTTTCGTGGAAGAAATCTAAGCTCTTTTGAGTCCTTTTTACATTTCAAAAAATGACGAAAATGAAATTCTCAATGAAAAATGGGTATAGAAACGGCAAACGTTTAGTTCACCAGCAAAATATCATCCAAATTCATTCCATTCATCCCAAAGAAAAGTGCTCCTAATCGGTAATTTGTTTTATTCAATAATTTAGCTTATCAGAAAAGGAAGTGAAGAACTTCATACGTAATTATATTAATGTTTAGGAGATAAAAATTCTTCATTATCTTCAGAAATAAAATACCTGCNATATCAACAATTTGAAGATATTTTTCAACTTCTTCGCCTAATTTCAACTGTAGTGAACAATAATTCGATTACTCCTATTTCCCCCACCCAATTTATTTCCTATTTTTATTCCTACGAGTTAGAGAACACGGTTCATGATCTTGGGTACACGCCTAAGAAGGTCAGCTACATTAACCTACGTCTTCGCTGTGGGCACGACCAATTTGAGAGATCTTGATGTTCATTTAAAAAAAAAATTAGATCGAAATAAATGCAAATACTGAAATTTATAGCTTCTAAATCTCTTTAATCGTTATTGATGTAATTTATTGTTGAGGTGGAATGTCAATCTCACGTGTACAATGCGTTTGGAAAAAAGCTTCTATACCTGACTATCATTGAAACTATAGCAAATAATTTGATTTCATGAGCCTAATTTATTTCATCTGTCATTGGAACTGCGTATCATTGAGACTGTTAATTTCGGAAGAAGAATAAATAGTAATTCCAATCTTTGGGAATAACAAGGAAAGAGTCACTTGTAGTTTCCACTTTAAATATTTACTTGAGTCATTGAAATTCAAGAGCGAATTCACACAATTGAAGATTGAAATTTCAAAAATACTCCAATAACAAACATAGTGACAAAAACTGATCATTAAATAATATATTCAACTGAATAATTAAATTCATCTACGACAATTGTACAATGTACCCATTATACGTCTGTTTGCTCGACTTAATGAGTCATTAATCACTGCTGTCAGGTGCTTTCTTGGTTCATATTGTTTGGTACATATGATTCAAATGTTACACCAAAACATTAGGTTCAATAGTAATACTATCCCTGCGATTACAATTATTAATAACTATAAATGAATATTTCAATAGAACTGGTCGATACTTGATGAAAATCCATATTAAAAAACTAGTTTATTGTATGATTTTTACTATAAAGGGTTTTACAAAAACCGCGACACGTGTTTCGCTATAAAATAGCTTCCTCAAGCATAAAATTACTTCTGAATTACAACCATTTTATAATCTAACCTATTACCTACTCGTCTGTTTGATGAATGAATCTACCTGAAAAGGCCAGGTATGAATTCATCAACTAGATCAATACAGTTTTCGAAAATATACCTGTAAATGAAAAGATTCAATAATGGCCAATTATTCAATTCAGTTTGATCGTTCATAAGAT